CCACATCCTTCTTACTTTTTTGTGGTGGTCGTCATGTTGTCTATCGCCTTGGTCGGCGATCCCGTTTGTTGGAAAACTGGGACAAGGACGGTATGGTGGTGCCGACAAAGCAAACGGCGACCACCGCTAGCGATGAGGCGGGCTCAATGAGATTCTTGCCTTGCGCCGCCGCTTTGGTCCTTGCTACGTCAAATTTGTGGCTGGCGGTGGGTCACCAGCGCTGGCGAGGGTGGCCGGGGTGCAACATGGGTGGGTATTTTTGTGTTGATGATCATCAAGAACGGGGATGGCTGGTGGCGGGGGTTGCAGCGCGACGGCGGGGGTGCAAAGGAAAGTTGCGGTGAGTGGACGCCGCACAGTTGGGCCTATTTTTTTACTGAGAACAGTCAGAAGCGGGAGACCCAAATCTGCATGCCCAGGATGGCACGAAATCCGACATCTCACCCCCTTTTACTCACTCACCTCTAGCGGGAGGACCAATAGAGCCTCAATCTTCCCACCATCTCCACCAGAGATGGCGACTGAGATCTGCAATACAAGGCAACAACAGCTTAGATCTCCGGCACCGAGACGTGCTCCTCCCCTCCATGAGCTACTTGTCCCCTTCATCTCCATCTCGTCTTCCTCGTCTCCATCATGCGCGGGCCATCGTTACTGTTGGAAGGAAGAGAGGGATTGGTGGAATAGTTGTTGTATTGCTTGAGCCTCGTGGGCATATATATAGGAGTACAATGACCAACTTGGAGTACAAGACAAGACGGAATAAATCCTAGTCTATCTCGTCTTTCCTAATACAATCACGTTACTCAACATCCCCCCGCAGTCACAACGGTAGCGACGCAGACGGTGAGACTGGAGAAGAATCCGAAGGCAAGCCTACGAACACCCCCCCCACAGTCGTAACGGTCGACGCATCACGGAGTCGTGGCTGGAGTGGAAACCAACGAGGTTGCTCAAGCAGGCGGTAGCCCTTTGTGCCGTTTGTCGATGTAGCCGAGAGCGTGTGTGGTGGAGCCGTGGTCGAGGTAGCCGTGCGAAGAATGCCGTGGTCGATGTCGAGTCGGGGTGGCCGGTGTCGAGGAAGTCGCCGTGGAGCCGCGGGCGCAAGGGGGCGCCGAGTTAGTCGTGGGCGCAGTGGTGTCGAAGTAGTGGTGCGCCAGGACGGAGATGATGTTGACGACGCGTCGCGCCGGGGTTGCCAACCCTGGGAACACATCGTAGACGAAGGCACGCGTCGGTGTTGCCGGCACCGGGCATGCGTAGACGGACGAAGACGAAGTTGACGAAGCGCCGCGCCAGGCTTGCCAGGCCCGGGGACACATCGTGGACGAAGGCACGCGACGGTGTTGCCAGCACTGGGCATGCATAGACTGGGACCTGCACAAGCTGTACGCCATGTCGAAGAAGTCGGAGAGGCCAGCAGAGAAGGACTCGACGACGGTTGCGGCGCCAATCGGCACGGGGCCAATGTCGCCCGCGGTTGTCGGAGTAGATGAAGTGGTCGGGGTAGATGACGGCGACGCTAGCGACGAGCTGGTGCTGGACGAAGACGAAGGGGGTGGACGGGCGGCGGCGGCGGCTACGAAGGTAGCGGCGGCGGCGGCCAAAGAAGGGCGGCAGCGGCGGCCTGAAGGCGGCGGCGGCGGCTAGGTTAGCAGTGCGGCGGCGGTGCTCGAAGTAGGCGAAGAACCCTGACAGGATGACGAAGACCGGCGCAGACGGTGGCATTCTCGCGCCAAGGGAGATGGCGCGGCGCATACCACGGGAGGTCGACGCGCGGTGACGGCAGAGTAGACCGCAGGCCGCGGCGCTACGGCCCGAAGGGGCAACGCAGCGGCGGCAGCGTGGGTTGGGGCGACGGCGGGAAGACCTCGGGGCGGCGGCGGGGACCGCGAGCTGCGATGCTGCGATGCTGCGGCCCGAAGGGGTGACGCAACGGCGGTTCGCGAGTCGGTGCAAGCGCGTGGATGGCCTCAGGACGGCGGCGTGGACCGCGTGCCACGCTCGCTACGGCCCGACGGGGCGACGCAGCGGCGGCGCGAGGGTCGATGCAACCACGGGACGGCCTAGAGCGGACGCCCTCGGGGCGGCGGGGGACCGCGGGCCGCGGCACTATGGCCCGAAGGGGCGACGCAGCGGTGACGCAGGTCGGTGCAGCCGAGAGAAGAACCACGGGGCGGCGGTGCTGCGGCCCGACGGGGCGGCGCAGCGGCAGCCCGATGCTCAATCGGTGGAGAGGCGCGCTGAACTCGGGGACGATCTTCACGGGACCTGCGGAGGCGCGCGTAACCGATGGGCCAGGTCGGTCGCGCGGTGTAGATGAGGCGGAGCGCGTAACTCGGGGACGCCGCTCGGTGGAGGCGTGGTGGCCGCGGAGTCTGAGATGAAGCCGGCGGCGGTGGGCGGCAGGGCGGCTATGATTGGCCGCCGCATGACGCGAGGCCGCCGGGTCGGGGTGATGCAGGAGTCCCGGTCGGAGCAGGGCGGTGACGGCCGGCGTTGATCGACGGGCGGGCCGTCACGCGAACGGCGGCGGTGAAGGGCCGCCGCATGACGCGAGGCCGCCGGGTCGGGGCGACCGGCAGGCCGACGCGCGGACGACGCGTGAGGCCGCCTAGTCGGGGCGACCAACGGGCAGACGCGCGGACGACGCGCGAGGCCGCCGGGTCGGTGAAGAAGCCGGCCAATCGCGCCGGTGTTGGAGTAGAGGCGCACGGGGTCGACGGCGGTGGTGGGCGACGCAAACCGGATCACATAGACCGGAAAACCAAAAAGTAGATGCCGATCAAGACGACCGGCGAAGAGAGAAAACCCGGATCAAAGGATCGGGAAAAAGACTCTCTAGGGCAGCCGGCCAACATGGCCGGCGAACGAACCCTAGGTACGGGCGGCGCGGCCCCCGGCGGCGGTCATGGAGGCCGACCGCCCCGGGGGCGACGCGCGGGTGCGGAAGCGGTGGCGGCTAGGGTTTAGGATCGACTTGCGATAGATACCATGTTGGAAGGAAGAGAGGGATTGGTGGAATAGTTGTTGTATTGCTTGAGCCTCGTGGGCATATATATAGGAGTACAATAACCAACTTGGAGTACAAGACAAGACGGAATAAATCCTAGTCTATCTCGTCTTTCCTAATACAATCACGTTACTCAACAGTTACCATGACATGATTTTATTGGAGTGACAGATGATACTGACTACTACATGGATAGAAGAAGGCGACGAAGGTGAACTTCCCCTTTTATTGACATTGATGAATATTTCCCCCATGGAGCCATATGGCTGTTAATTTGTACTGCCATTTGGGCTAGGACGAACTGCCACTTGTTTAGTGGGTAGGAGTGATATGATGTTAATTTTGTATTGCACGATGTTTATTTGATACTGCCTATGTAGTGTAAATGTGTGGTAATGGCACCACTAGTGAGAAGGGTGTCCCCAACATTAGACCATGGACAACCAAAAGCCATGTTTTCACATCTTCACATCTATTAGCCTAAGCGCAGCCGACCAAACTCGTGTATCAAACGAACCTCGTGATGCAAGGCATGCAGCAAAACAAAGTGCAGAACATGGTTTCGAGTTCGTATTATCTCCATGAGGCTCAGCCACGGATGCAAAGAGACCAAAATAGTTACAAGCAACTAAACACGCCCTATCGCTCGTGCGAACATGACTCCCTTCGCCTCATGACTCATGATCCCCCTCACCTCCTCCGTCGCCTTCCTCTTGTGAGCAGTGATGATGTAGCGTTGATTCTCCCTCCAGCTCAAAATCGACTATACGCAAGCAACCTTGCATCACGATCTCCTTTCTCCCCCTCCCCGCCACTCTCAGCTCCACCATTCTCAAAGCCGATGAGCACATACAACCCCTCTTCACCATCCCTTTCCTTGCATCTACTCGATTTGATTTCATGATATCTCTAATATAGTTTGGTTGCTTCGTCACGGTTCCCTGCCCTTCCCCATGTTGCCCAAATGGCACCAGTGATATCTCCCCATTGCGAGAGAGGACCTCATGAGCACATGAAAATCTCTCCTAGAGCTTTACTACCCTCGGTTTTCCCTCCCCAACAACCAAATAAGTCCCAAGGGCCATACGTGCACCTCATAATTCAAAATGTCTAACATGTAGCCATGCACGATAAAAAGTTTTTCATCCTGTTATACCAGTTACATCTAATAAACATTTTACAACTATACAGCAAATATACTAAATCATACTCCCCTTGAGAATTGTATATACAACATATAACTCCTATGTTTAACTCATATGAGAGGCTGTATACATAGTATGAGTTAAACATACGAGTTATTGTGTTTAAAGTAATGAAAGGCTGTATACATATTATTACTCTGAAACATTTTACTCCTATTAAAGTAATAATATGTTATATTCAATTTCAATTCTCATATTATTACTTTGAAACACAATAACCCATATCTATACAGCCTTTTATTGAAATATATTACAACCAGTTTGCACAGCAACGCAAGAAGTATTGTCTAGTTAACATAAACATTCAGTTCATTAGAACAACTAGCACAATTCTAAATGTATATTCTGTGAATATTGTAGGGAAATACTTTTCATGGCCTTTTAAATGGAGGGCTTACTGCACGAGTACACCTGAGTGGCTAGGCCAAGTGAACCCCACCAAGTGACCAACCTATTATCGTGTATTTTCATATTTCTGCATACTTCCCCTGTAGCAGAACAGATTAAATGCAATTGGTACACTGATGAATAAATAAATAATGGTAGAAGGCACTCAGACTAAAGCACTAAGCATCGGAAAATACAGAAAAAAGAGAGATTGTTCATTATTCATGTAACAAGATGTGAGAACGCAGAAACCAAGGTCTTCAGCAAGCGTCACAAGCAAAATATAGGCCCAAGGTACAAGCAAGTGGCCAATCCAACTGCTTCAGCAATGCTGCATGGTATAATGATGGCTTGTTATCCAGCACAGTTGCCCATGCTTGCAACATCATCAGTACTCAGAACTCTGACGGCGTGATAACATCGTCGATCTTGAGAATCATCTTCACAACCTGTGTTGCCAATAATATCTGTTGTTGCTTGCCAATCAGGGTTTCAAAGACGTGCTGTTCTCTCATATCGTTGGTCCCAACATCATTGCAGTCGATGCCACAGTAGGGATTGTTCTCCTGCAGAGGTGGTAAAGGGTCAGAATCACATGCATGTTACTCCAATGTGAAACGAGACATCCAAATCAGCTTCTAAAAAAGCATAAAATATGCTGCATTGACGCCATTAAGCAATAGAATTGGTAGGATTGTGCAAGCACATACTGTATTGTGTGCCTTGGCCTCGAGTAACACTTCTATATCACAAGCACAAAAACACTGGATTTGCGCACATACTCATCCGACTAGAAGTACAAGGACAAGTGACGTTACATTGAATCATCAAGAACAAATATTGCTACCTATTAGAAGAGCAGACTGGGGAGTAAGGCAACAGAAACATAATACCTGAATTTGCTGAGATTTTACTGCAGTCAACGTATCAATAGGTGGCAAACCACTGTTTTCAGCCAAGGCTAGTGGAATCCCATCCAGCGCATCAGCAAACGACCTGATTGCATACTGCAAGTACAAAGAACACGATGAAACGATATTGCATCTTGTTGCAACTTAGCTGTTGAAACTCAGCAGTTACCTGCTCGGCTCCAGCATATCGATCTGCTGCAGCTTCGACAGCAACAGAGCAAGATATCTCAGCTGAGCCGCCACCATAAACAATAGAGTTATTGCGGATCAGATTTCTAGCCACACACAGAGCGTCGTGAATACTTCGCTTGGCCTCCTCAATCATCATTTTGTTGCCTGCATGGTAGCTGCTGGCTTTATCATGGAAACTCCAAAAGCAATTTATCTTTTAGCTAGTGCACATATTGAAAATCAATACTAGCGGTGACAATCAATCATTTTCTACTTAGCATAGTTGGTTGGGTTGCTGCTACAGTATGAGGTCTTAAAACCCTACAATTCTTCAAGGAAAAGCAACACACAGCTCGATGGTGCATCATACAATCATGATGATATGAACGGTATGAATATTTTGTACTCATTCTACAAATCCAACTGGTTATGTATGACAAGGTACTCTCAAACTATGATCTGATAATGTACCCAACACAACAATGGGTCATAGGACCAAGTACTCACAAATTATGACCTAATTAAAAACCAATAGTATCATAAAAATTGTATTCATAATGGGGAAGTGAATGTTACAAAGAAATTTCTCATATATTTCAGTGCACAATTTGCCATTATGCAAGATTATTAATAACTAAAATTATGCAAGTACACTAGATTCGACAATTGGGTGCGGAACAGTGAAACTGTCACGTATCTGGATACTGCCAACACTAGTAAAATTGTCTGCACTGTATGCACTGGCAGAGCCACGGCAAGGCTGAATGGGCCGTGGCCCGCCCAGCACAGGAGAGAAAAAAATATACCTAGCCAGCCCACAACACTACACATAGCAATAACAGGTATCAGCCCAGCCACAGCGAAACTGCTTCACACCATACCACAAATAAGGACGTGCAGCAGTCAGCAATGGTGCAGCCGCCCACTGTCGGCCCACACAGACAGCCACCGCTCACCGACACACCGCACACTTCAGCCGCCTCCCAGCCAGTTGGCCGATTTACGAGGCCACGACCCACAGGCCACTCAGCTAGCAGTCTGAATCCTTGTAAGCTGGCTCACAGGTGAATGATTTCTATGAATCATCTCCAATTTCCTTCTCCTAAATTCGACTGAGGTCGTCGTCTATTCTTGTGGTAGCATAAATAATTCACTGGAGATATGTTGTTTAAATTCTATGCAAAGGCATTGTTATAGATTTTAAAAGGACAAATAATTTAAACCAATTTGTAGTATGTGACTCAATATCTGATGTCTTCAAAAACTCCTGTAATGACTAACAAAAATAGTCTAATGAAACTGTATTTTGGTATAGCTTTTCTTTTATATATTTGTACTCATTTGATCTTGTAAAGATGGAACAGAAGGTACTGATGAATGCCAATGATTCAAAATTTGGAAAAACATTTGTCCTTCTTTAGCTTGGCCCGCTCAACAATTCGTTTCTAGCTCCGCCACTGACTGTATGCAACACAAAAGTATCTCAACTATATGGACAGATTGATCACTGATTGGTTGAAGGTACAAGCACAGATGACCTAATAAAGGATGTGAGATATGCACATGCGAACAAGAAGGAAGAGATATTATCCATTGGAACATACCGCCACGGATGAAGATAGTTACAGCTCTGGAATTTGCACACCTCTCAATGCAAAGCATTCGATCCTTTGTTGTTCCAAATGACTTCTCTCTAACCAATCCAGCCTGTTTCAGCAAAGTATGCAGATAAGCAAACGACATGAGATACAAGTAGTATGGTACAGTTTTAAACAAGCATAATTATATTACGATTACTTTCAAGAATATGTTACTTTTGCATGGTATCTTGATGGCAAACATCCTCATTGCTAGGTGCTGAAGGAACGCATTGATTACACCAGAGAGAAGTGGCAACCCTACTCAACTACCAAGAAACACGTAAAGATTAACATTGTTGAGCATTCAATTTTTAGTTTATTGTCCTGAGGTCAATCAAGTCACCCTCACAAACCCACATGTGGCTAATTAAAGTCAGCGGACATCTTAACAATTACTGGACATTGTATAGACGCTGAGTCAATTAATTCGGATTGGAGGGAGTATCACTTATCTGTTTTAACTTCTTAAATTGTTTGATACACTTATACTATTAAGAAATAATAGAAAGTACGTAACTACGTATACAGACAAAAACTCCCACAAATTAATAGCTAGTCTCCGCATATGCTCTGTAGTCTCAGCTACTTAAGATTTCACATACTTGGGGTTCTAAAATTAGACACCCGACTATACAGCCGGCACCAATCCATGCATATTTAATATTACTTGTGTACATTATCAGAAAAAATTATTCTTTGTGTACAAAAAAGAGCACAAAACCAGTTGTACCTGCCCAAGCTTATCAGGAGTCAACTCTTGGAATCTTGGAACAATACGCCCCCCTGCAGTCAGTTTTAAAATGTTACATAGTGTATTTATAAGACATTCAAGTTCACAAGGAGAGGTACTCATATCAACCTGTAGCTATGGCAATCAATTCCAATTCAACACCACCAACCCATCTGACAGCAGGCAGATTTCTTTGCATAAGCAAATGATTGGCTTCATCATCAAAACCCCATTGACAGATAACTAAGGTTGCACCAACATCCTGCAAGTGTATACAAACAAATCTTTAAGTACTTATATTAAGAAATCAACCATGATACGATGCAAAGTAAATAAACTTTGTGCAAAATCATGACTTTGCCCTACTATAAAATACATTGAAATTTTGTAGGCCTTTACCTTGCATTTCTGAACCATTTCATCAAAGTATTTCTGCTCTTGTCCACGCATCGTCTGGAATTTTTCTACAGTGTCAATGTCAACCTTATGCTTTGTCTTGGGCTTTGGGGGCTCAAATGGGCAGGTAAGGATGGCAATATTAGCATCCTCGATTCTCTTTGGCATTTGTGGGTGGCTCATATCTTTGTCAACAGCGATTCCGTATATTAGCTCAGTGTCCTCTAGCTTCCCACCAACTTTACCTTCTACTTTAATCAAGTCCAAGTTTACATCCTTCCTTTCCAAATCAGCAACAGCAAGGACTGCCCTGACAGCAATCTCAGCAAGCATCCGCTTACAACGGTTAACACTGCAGTTTAAGAATGACGGGTCCAATTAGAGGACAGAGAGAAATATAAACTGAATCTACCCTGCTTCCTAGCAGATCAAAACATTGGTTGCATAACTGAGAAGTTAAGAGTGAATATCTTTGACCTACATCTTTGAGGACAGAGTTGTCATGCAGGTCTGCACCAAGGGCTCTATATTTGCAGCAGTGAACTCAAACCTAGTGGAGATATGTTCAAGGTGATCAAAAGCTATCTTGGAAGCCATTTCATATCCTTCGGCAATTCTAATCGGGTGAATACCACGCTCTAGCAGTTTCTCAGCTTGCTCCAGGAGCGACCCTGCTAGGACCACCACCCCGGTAGTACCATCCCCAATTTCATAGTCTTGACTACGGGAAAGCTCCACCATCAGCTTTGCAATCTGGTTGTCAACATCCATTTGCTCCAGGATCGTCGCTCCGTCATTTGCTAAAAAATCATATGGGAGGAAATTATTCAGAAACCCGAACTTCCCTTATTTTATTATAGGTATAAAATCAAAGTAATTTCCAACGGAACTAACAGCCCTACAGACATCTAGAACTCTGGACAGATACTGCGTAGCACACACCAAAATCCCTAGCCCTCGAAGAAACCGATGCAAGGGCCAGATCGCATGCGAGAACCTTAAGTTTTCCCGCAAAGAAAAAGGAACAGGTTAGGCTAAGATCAGGAAGCGGAGCGGCGAGGGGAGTGAGAGAGTGCGGTGGAGCAGTTACTGATGGTGACGTCGCCGTCGGGGGACTGGAGAATCTTGTCCATGCCCTTGGGGCCGAGGGAGGTGCGGAGGCTGCGCGCGACGGCCTTGCCGGCGGCGACGTTGGCCTTGTGCGCGTCGAGCCCCCGCAGGCGGGACTTGCTCTCCTGCTCCCTCAGGATGATGAAGGGCCGTCCGAAATCGTCGAACGCCAGCGCCATGGCCGGCGGCGCCGATGGACGGGACGCGCGCGCGGCGCTTCTAGAAGGGTCGGATCGCACCGGGGGAGGAGGAGGCGGCGCGAGGGCGGCAAGCGGGCGTACCGGCGATCTTTGTGAGGCTTAGGCAAAAAAAAACCTTCACGAAACATCCAAAAGGATATGGGCTTCATCGATGGATGTATGGGCCGGGCTGGATAGATGGGCTGACTTCTTTTTTGTCCCACGAATAAAACCGGGAACCGTTGCTAAAAGGAAAAAAAACTCATAACCGTAGACGAGATATGCGCGTCGGAGACCCACGTCACCATCCCACGAATCTGTTTGAAGAACTTTTGAAGCGACCGGTCCACCTGGCCCGTCATCCGCGTGTTTTCTTCCTAAACTACCCTTGTACCTTCGCCGCCAAGCATGATAAGTGTTACACCGACTACACGCTTGCGTGGGAGCTAACGCATGCTTGATTTTTTTATTTTCGAATTTACACATCTTGCTCCGCAGACCATATATGTAGCCTGGTTTATTCTCCAAACTGAGCCTCTTTTTTTTCAGGGAACTGAGCCTGGGTATTGGACTATTGCGTCTACACAGACAAAAAACTCATTAAACCACAATAGTGTGACTGAACAATCGACAAAATTGGGGAACAAAGGAAGACTCTGCGTCGGTCTCAAGCGAAAACTCTAATCGTCGTTGGGCAAAGCCCATTGGCGGTTGACGATTATTGGATTTGTTTCTCGCGCAAGCGTTGCTCTGGGCGCGGCCCTCTCGGTGGAGTTGTTCGCCGTGGTGACCGACCTTGGCTCGTGGGACTGGCCTAAGATTGTTGCTCTGGCGAATGTTGAGGCTAGGACGAGCGGCGATGTGACGGGTTAGTGTGGCCGATGGCGAGGTGGTCCTATGCTTCGTGGTGGCTACAGCGCGACCCAAGCGGTGATTCCTAGTTATGATGGACTCAGGCTCGGCCCAAATCTGGCGTGTGGTGGCGGTTGGTTGCAGTTTCCTGGGTGGCGGCCTCGGACTTGGTGGTGGCAACTTCGGCCACGGGGCGGCGCATGTATGGGCATGGCGGGTCATGGGACCCCGCGGACAAATTGGAGTTGGCTTGATGCATGGTTGGGTGGTTAGAGGGTTTCCAGTAGGCGATGTCCCCATGTGGGCAGAAGGTGGTTGAGGCATCTCCAGGAGAAATTCTCTTTCCATCTCCTTCAGATCCGACGATGACGACGCCCACGAGTGGTGTGGTCTTCTTGGAAGCGCCGTCATTGAGATGTGCTCATCACTCTCCCCACATTCTTGGCTTTGGAGAGAAATTCTCTGAATCATGTGATAGAGGCGTCTTCGTGTCTTTCTCCTCCTTGGGGCATCATCTCGAAGTCGGCCCTACGACTAGAAAACCGATGGTTCGCAGCGGCTTGTCTGTGTGGTTTGTTGAGATTGGGGGCATCAACGTCTATTCTGGCAACGATGATGGCGTCAATATGAGTTTGAGTCGCCACTCGAGTATGGTAGTCGGCTTTATATAGCGTGCCTGGTGTGTTCTTTTGTAGTTTGCTTGGTTGCTGTGGAGTCATGGATGTAGTAGAATGTGTGCATGTGGTGACGATGACAGGCACTCGGCGTTTGGTGGCTTACGACCCTCATCACCGTCGTGGCATGCAACCGGTGTGGTCGTAGCACGCAGACGTTGCGGTCCAAGCTTAGCCGCTAGCCGACAGCAATATCATCGGGGCGCGGACTGAGCATATCCAACTGATGGCCGTAGCGTTGCATGCGGTGATCCCACCATCCCTACCTATCTATCGTAGGACCGAGGGGTGCAGGATCCCAGCATATCCATCTCCGGGGCATAATGTTGCGGGTGTAGGGTCCCAACATCGTCAGGGCACGGTCTCAACATCCCATCTGCCCGTCGTAGCGTCATGAAGTGCTGGTCTCAGCTTCCCCATCTTCCCATCGTAGCATCTTGGGGTGCCGGGCCTAGCTTTGCCGCCAGCCGGTCACAACATCACTAAGGTGTGGTCCTAACATCCCGCTTGAAAGCATCACACGTTGTTCGTTTGCAGCGCTTACCACGTGCCCATTACTACACCCCCGCGTCGTTGCTCACACCATTCATCTCCCCGCCCTCCGGTTGTCGGCGCAGCATCGCCGTCATTGCACGCCTCATGGCTCGTAGTAGTCATCGAGCCCCTTTGAAGCAACGCTAAATACATTACCCCCATGACAACTCCAGTTCGCGGGCAGAAACGAGATGGAGAAAAAAATGCATGCCAGGTCAGGAGGATGTTGTTGGGATGGGGTCCTGGGCTGGAGGTGGGGTGACCATCGGCAACATGATTTGCATGGCTGTGGAGGATTCATGTGTTGGGGAAAGAAGATTGGGTGGTGCTGGGAGAAGAATAATGCGACACATATGGGGATGATAAGAAGATAGGGGCATAGTGGGTGGCATGTGTGTGAAGAGGGAGAGAAAGGAAGCGCATGTAGAGACAATTGGGAGGAGACTGGCGTGAGCGCCAGATCGAGATCATTTACTAAAAATATACTACTAGAAAACTTACTTCCTCATTCTTGGGGAACGTAGCACAAATTCAAAATTTTCCTACGTATCACCAAGATCAATCTAGGAGATTCTAGCAATGAGAGAGAGAGGGTCAGCATCTTCATACCTTTGAAGATTGCTAAGCGGAAGCGTTGCAAGAACGCGGATGATGGAGTCGTATTCGCGGCGATTCAAATCGCGGAAGATCCGATCTAGCGCCGAACGGACGACGTCTCCGCATTCAACACACGTACAGCCCGGGGACGTCTCCTCCTTCTTGATCCAGCAAGGGGAGAGGAGAAGTTGAGGGAGAACTCCAATAGCACGACGGCGTGGTGGTGATGGAGCTCGTGGTTCTCCAGCAGGGCTTCGCCAAGCACTACGGAGGAGGAGGAGGTGTTGGAGGAGGGAGGGGCTGCGCCAGGGCAATGGTGCGGCTGCCCTCTCTCTCCCTCACTATATATAGGGGGAAGGGAGGAGGGGGAGGCGCCCTAGGGTTCCCTAGGGGAGGGGCGGCAACCACAGGGGAAACCCTAGATGGGTTTGGGCGCCCCCACCCCCTAGGAAACTTGCCCCCCAAACCGGGAGGGGCGGCTGCCCTAGGGGTGGCGCCCCCACCTCTCCTTGTTATGTGAGATGGGGTGGGAGGGGCGCTCAGCCCCTTAGTGGGCTGATGTGCCCCCCTCCCCTTGGTCCATAAGGCCCCCAACGCTCGTCGGGGCCTCCGAAACCCCTTTCGGACACGCCGATCATCACCTGGTACCCCCGGAACAATTCTGGACTCCAATACCCTTCGTCCAATATACCGATCTTCACCTCCAGACCATTCCGGAGCTCCTCGTCATGTCCGGGATCTCATCCGGGACTCCGAACAACCTTCGATAACCACATACTATTTCCCATAACAACTCTAGCGTCACCGAACCTTAAGTGTGTAGACCCTACGGGTTCGAGAACCATGCAGACATGACCGAGACACCTCTCCGGCCAATAACCAATAGCGGGATCAGGATACCCATATTGTCTCCCACATGTCCCACGATGATCTCATCGGATGAACCACGATGTCGGGGATTCAATCAATCCCGTATACAATTCTCTTTGTCTATCGGTATGTTACTCGCCCGAGATTTGATCGTCGATATCCCAATACCTCACTCAATCTCGTTACCGGCAAGTAACTTTACTCGTTCCGTAATGCATGATCCCGTGACTAACTACTTAGTCACATTGAGCTAATTATGATGATGCATTACCGAGTGGGCCCAGAGATACCTCTCCGTCATACGGAGTGACAAATCCCAGTCTCGATTCGTGCCAACCCAACAGACACTTTCGGAGATACCTGTAGTGCACCTTTATAGCCACCCAGTTACGTTGTGACGTTTGGTACACCCAAAGCATTCCTACGGTATTTGGGAGTTGCACAATCTCATGGTCTAAGGAAATGATACTTGACATTAGAAAAGCTCTTAGCAAACAAACTACACGATCTTGTGCTATGCTTAGGATTGGATCTTGTCCATCACATCATTCTCCTAATGATGTGATCCCGTTATCAATGACATCCAATGTCCATGGTCAGGAAACCATAACCATCTATTGATCAACGAGCTAGTCAACTAGAGGCTCACTAGAGACATGTTGTGGTCTATGTATTCACACATGTATTACAGTTTCCAGTTAATACAATTATAGCATGAACAATAGACAATTATCATGAACAAGGAAATACAATAATAACCATTTTATTATTGCCTCTAGGGCATATTTCCAACAGTCTCCCACTTGCACTAGAGTCAATAATCTAGTTCACATCACTATTTGATTGTAATGAATTCGACACCCATGGGGTTTGATCATATCTTGCTTGTGAGAGAGGTTATTAGTCAACGGGTCTGAACCTTTCAGATCCGTGTGTGCTTTACAAATCTCTATGTCATCTCGTAGATGCAGCTACCACGCTCTATTTGGAGTTATTCCAAATAACTGTTCTACTATATGAATCCGGTTTACTACTCAGAATCATCCGGATTAGTGTCAAAGTTTGCATCGACGTAACCCTTTACGACGAACTCTTTTACCACCTCCATAATCGAGAAAATTCCTTAGTCCACTAGTTACTAAGGATAACTTTGACCGTTGTCCTGTGATCCATTCCTGGATCACTCTTGTACCCCTTGACTGACTCATGGCAAGGCACACTTCAGGTGCGGTACACAACATAGCATACTGTAGAGCCTACGTCTAAAGCATAGGGGACAACCTTCGCCCTTTCTCTCTCTTCTGCCGTGGTCATGTCTTGAGTCTTACTCAATATTCACACCTGATAACACAGCTAAGAACTCCTTCTTTGCCGATCTATTTTGAATTCCTTCAAAATCTTGTCACGGTATGTATTCATTTGAAAATACTATTAAGCATTTTTTATCTATCCTTATAGATCTTGATGCTCAAT